TGCTGCTGCTGAGTGGATGAATTGACGGTCAACCTCGTAGGTTTGAACGTTTTTAACGGGCACTTGACTACCTGCTGCTTTCATCTTCCAATCTCTCTCTTCTGCTCTTCTCAGCCTCCGCGAGTGCCAGGAGCCGAACCTTCTCCTGGCGAAGAAGCGAATTCTGGGACTCGAGCGAGGCCAACTGGCACTTAACGGAGAGCAAGTCTTCTGTGGCCGCGCGTTCCTTCTCGACTGCGGCGGCGAGTTGCGCCTGGGCTTCGACTGACAGACAGTACGAGAGGAGAGCAAGAGGTGGTGGTTTTAGGACAAAAGCGCTTTTTGCTCTGCGTGCCGCATCTGTTGTTGTCGTTCACCGTCAAGGCAATAGTGGCGGAAGAAAGTAACCGACCATCAATCTACGCACCCGTCCCGTCATCTCGCGCTCACAGACACTCCACAATATGACGGTGGGTTTGTTAGCGAGTTAGTATGACGGGGTCGTTCTCACGAGTGTGACATTCAGGGCAAACAGAGACAGCAAAACAGGACAATACAATACAAGGCATCTATACGTCGATGACACTTTCACAATAAGGTCAGAAAAACATTCGGCTCTTACCAAGCCGATCGGAGATGCTCTGTTCCAGTTTTTCCCAGGATGCCGTTTGTCCACCCAGCGAGGCCTGCAGGTTCTCAATTTGACGCAACAGGGGCCTCGTTGCTGAAGTCACGCTTTCGCTGAGCTCCTGGTTCCTCGACTCCGCCTCCTGGAGCCTCTGCGGAAGGATGGAAGAAAAAAGCCCGCGCGGAAAAAAAAGTGGTCTCGCGGGACAGCTGGAGTTGGGGAACGAGAGCCAAGACGACGGCGTTACCTGTTGCAATTCGCTGATCTCCTCCCTCAAATAATCTTCTTTCCTCGCCTGCTGTTGCTCCGCCCTCTGAAGCGCCAATCTCAGGTCACCCACCTGCACGCCGCGTCGAGAGTTACCGAATGAGCAGTGGCACTTGAAGCCCTCGAGGGCTCATCCCCTTTACCCGGGGCACAAAGGACAGGAGGAAAACCGGGCAGATAAGCGACACGACTTTCCCTGGGACATGTGAGAACTCTTGCCCTGAGACTGTCCTGTGCGATGAACGAGAACGATTGGAGATGCAATCTCATTTCAAACGGCGGCTCGTCAGCACTGACACGGCAGCGACCGAGCCAATGATCGAACGGGCATCGATGCGGAACTGTGCGTCTGCGGCACAAGGCGGCGCGTCACCTGGTTGGCCAGAAGCTCCTGCTGCATGCGGGCCTCCTCCTGGGCCTTCTCCAGGGCCAAGCTTTGCAGCTCCTTGGCCTTCATCTCCCGACTCAGCGCCGCCTCTTCCGCCTCACTGGCCCTGCTGGCGTGAGTTTTGTGAAGTTCTGCGAGCTCCCTGCAAACAAAAAAAGGTTCAAGATGCGTACGCGGCACTCACGCAAAATGTTTCCGGGTATTGGGCTCGCGGAAGCTAAAATGCATTCGATCTTTGACGTACATGTCGAGTCTGAAAACGAATCTCAGAAGCAGCTGAACGACAAGCAAACGGGAGCATGGCCCATGCGTTGACCCCCCCGCCCCACACACACACACACACCCTCCCCGCGATTTCTTG